GTTGGTAAGACATTAATTGAAAAAGCAGTCAAATCTTACATCATTTTCATCACACTGAGAGTGGCAATTTGTTGAACTGTAGACCTTTTCATTGTTCACGCATTCACCATTGCTGCACACCTAGAAATGAAGTAACCAACATGAATTAGAATGGCTTACAACATATGTGCAATTGTAATTTCATGTAATGCATGTGAAATGTATAATTTTTCATGTAATTTGCATGTAAAATTACAATTTCAATTTATGTGATTTAATTACAAATTATGTAATTTTTTTCCATTGTAGAATCCTATACGTAGCATCTTTTTTGGATGGAGAAATCCTTTATAAGTATTTGATGAAGGTATTGTATTTGAAAACATTGTTATATCAAACTCATTATCAAAATGGTTATGTCCTTGTTAATTCTTTGAGTGTTAGTCTATCAAATCATTCTACAATTATAATTGCCACAATTTCTTCTGTTTCTAGGAAGTTTCATTTTTGATTTGGTATGATAATATATATTACATCACAACTGCTGGCTGGCCAGGGAACCCACTGCTTTGTGTTTCCTTGGTTCCCAAGGTTTCTATCTCATCTTCTCTCCACATTTCAGGGTCTTCTTATGCTATTTAAATATACTATGTTCAGAGTTTTAGCTGTATTTTGCAGAAGAAGTGTCTACTCCATCTCATCTGGAACCAGAAGTCCCTATATCTATTTTAAAAGTAAATCGACTATTACAATCTCCCTAAAAGTGCTCCAGATACCACTACACACCTATTTGAATAGCCAGAGTCCAGAATACTGATGGCCCCAAATGTAAAATATTTCAGGCTCAACTAAAGGGCACCTGGGACCATGTGATATGTTTGCCCCAGCTTCCTGTGTCAAATTAAAATTTATCCAGGAAAAGAATAAATATTAGAGAACATATTTTTATGCCTTTTAAGTTTGCTATGTCTAAGAATAGCATGTCAGTGCAAAAATGAAAGGAAAATTCTTTAACTGGTATCACTGTGATACCCCATCAACTGGCATTTGCTATGCATGACTTTCTTTACTAGTAACTGGCTGAAGAACCGGTGCCACCATGATGGGTGTGCCTCTGTCCTAAGCCTTCCCTTGAAGGAACAGGCACTGTGTTTGGAGGCACATGATCACAGTGTACTGAAGAGAGCAAGATGTATTTCTTAACAACTGCTTCCCTATTGGTCCTCTTTTAAGTCCCCCCCCCACTCTTAATGAAGGAGACGCTATAATTTCACTTTATATCTCAGGCTAATTTTCCTTATCCAAAGTGAATAGCAAATTGTTTGGTATTTTCTTCAACCTGAGGCCTCATACATTTTGTCTTGTTGAATGTTCTTGAATTTTCTAGCTCCTGGTTAGTAAAATATACCTTAATTTTCACAAATATAGATTTCTTACCAAGCTGATAGTCATTTAATCATTTAATGAAAAACAGTATAGTTAAACATATGGACTTGAAATCTAAGTGCCCATTAAATCATTACATTCTAATTCTTTTTTTCTTACATTTTGACTTTTTGTTTTCCAATTTATTTCTCTATCAAATTATACAAATTCCACTGTAATACTGTGGGGGGTAGTGTATAGAGACAGAGGAAGACATACCATAGGGAGAAACTATTCAGTTTCAAATAGCTGATTTTTCTCATAAAGTATCATATGCTTTCCATACATTCCTGACGAGCTGGCTATTGTTTAGAGTATACAGTCTAACATTTTCACATCGGCATGATAAACCCTTTCCAATTTGGCCTCATTCTGTCTGCTTAACTTCATGTTTTGCCATTTCACCCAAAGCTCAAGCCATACTGAAATTATTGGTTAACTGAACATTCCATACACTTCGTATCTTTGCATATTACATAAGTATTTCTTTCTAAAAAGTCTTTTCCCATTTTCTGTATTGTTAAAATGTCGTTCATCAAGCCAAAGCTGAAATGTTACCTGTTTAAGGTGCCATTCTATGTTCTATAAGCAAAGTCATCACTTTTCCTTTAGGTTCCCGACATGCTCTGGTCATACCACTATGAAAGCACTTTTGTCAAATTGTAATGATCCATTTAATTTAGTGTATGAAATTCTCCAGTCCACTAATCTTAAGTGTACAGTCTCTGGTACCATAGTACATGGCCAGTAAATATGGTAGAATGAATAAAATAAAAAATGTTTCACTACTTTATGGTCACATTAATTAGAAAAAATATCCTATCTATAAGTTCATTAGTTGTCTATTGTAAGACACTAATTAAGTATATTTATCACAATTACATATCATTTGGTATAACTAAAATTAGGAAAAATGAATGTTTATTACAGTGTTATTGCTATTCTGCTCATTAAAAAATTGTCAATTTTTTTTTTCCATTTACATGTATAGGCCCCTTTGGAAGCAATTATGGCATCCAATGTTGTTTTCAAATGGCTGAATCAAGAAGTTTTAATAACACAAAGGGCTTTCATCTTACCATTCCATCTCCGCATTTTGTTCCAAAGGCAACCAGGCCAACATCTTTAGAATCGTGGTATAGAAACATGGTTTTGCATTTGATGGTGCCATTCTGGGGGTTCCACTTTGGATCCTTGAGGTGATAGGTTTTGTCTTCTCCAAAGAGAGATGAGTGATGTCCTCCGGTACAGTAGACCTTTCCACATTTGACATCTCTGAAAGAAAGGAACAGTATTCACAGACTTAAGACCAGAAATAGAACTTGAGATGAGGTAGCAGTGAAGTGGTCTGGTCACTTTTTTCCAGACCCAGGTTTGCCAGCAGGTTGCAGGAGTCAGCACAGACAGAGAAAACCACTGGACAAAGTCCTGACCCTGGGTACTGACATGAGTAGGTAAAGAATGTAAAATGATCATATTTCTTTTTGATTTCTCTGTGATTCTCACAAATCAATGTTTGTTCAAGTTTACAGAGGAATGTTTCTCATTAGTAATTTGAATGACTAAATAAAAGGTCAAGCATAACTTTAATCAGGACACCAAGATTTCCTTCTTATTCTGTCTTGCATGGAGCACCATCAGTTGATTCTGACAACAAGCCTGTGAGATTGCTGTTATTATAACCCTTGTTTTACAGATTAGGCAGCAATTGAAAGTTGGGGAAATTAAGTGACTGTCCAATGTATTTAGGAGCAAAGTTGAACTCGACTACAGGTTTTTGTGGTTATTGTTTTCAGTCCAGATCCTGTTCTGTGGTACCTAAAAAGCCTTGCAGCAGGTCAGTAACAAACTTGGAAGAACGGTTCCGTTCACAAATAAAAATAAAAATAAAGAATATTTGACTACTTTGTAGTCACATTAATTAGAAAAAAAATCATGTCTATAACTTCATTAGTTGTTATTTTTTTAATTTGCCAGATATCCTTTTAATGAGAATTATAACACCAAAAACATTTTTGTTTGCAAATTGCCTTTTTTTTAAAGAAATGACTTGCTTTTAATTACAAATACCATACATGATGATGCCTTCTTTTGCAAAACCAATAAATACAAGAACAAATTTTAAACATGTGATTTGTACAAGATACTTTAAAAAAAAGAAAAAAAGCTGATTTTTTTCAGTATTTATAAAAATCAATTTATTCCCTAACCTTTCAAAGATTAATTTTGAAAGTATGACTCAATTGGAGAAGAGAAAGAGAAAGAGAGAGAGAGAGACCATCTTATAGCTGCTTTAAATAGCTTTTGATAATTTTTCCAATGACACCTTTTCTTTCTGGAACTCATATTTTCACAAAATAGCTGAATTTAAAATATTTCTAACGAACTGATTAATGGAGGGAAAGAAAATATGTATCGAGCAGATATTATAAACTTTTTAAAACAGATCTAATTTCCAAATATTCCTGCTCCCCCAATTTCAGCTTCTACCTTGTTTTCTTTTTATGGCTTCACTTCTTTCCTTCCCTTTTCTTTTCCCTTTTTCTGTTTATTTCCCCCTTCCTTCAGTTTGCTCCAGTCCCTTATTTGGTAGCATTCTTTCCCTCTCTTTCTCTTCCAAGGATCTTCAATCTTCCCCATCTTCCCTCCTTATATTCCATGACTATAAGTTAACAAACACCAGCTAACGCTGTCAGGGATGCTGGCTCTCTCCTTTCCTGCTCCCGTCTCGTCCCAACCTCCTCAGTAAAAAGAGATCAACAGCTGACGGAACAGGAGCCACTCTGATTTTGCAAAACCCTGTAGGAGGCACTTACTTTTTTCCACAGGGCACTTACTTCTCTTCACAGGGAATGAATCTGTTTTCCTGGCTTTTGCAGTATCCAAATTTATTTCCTTTTTTATTCATCTTGTAGCACACATCATGACTTTCTTTTGCCCCTAGGGTGCAAAATGGTATGATAAAAGTAAAACAATGAGAGCATGAACATCATGAATCATGGGAGACCTTACTTTTCTAATGTAATTGAATCTTCAGTATCATGTTATATCATGCAGTGGTGAAGCAGAATGGAAAAAGTATGATTTTAAAACTACCCCATTGTCTCAGGAGGATATTTGAGGAAGTAGGAGAGGTAGACAAAAGTATACATAACATACATCAAATATGCATAACATATATTAGCTCACATACTGAGCTAGTCAGTTAATATTAGATGCAACATCCAGAGAAGTGATAGGTAATACGTTGGAATAATGCCACGTATGGAATTATCTCCAATCTTGACCCAATTCCTACAGGACAGTACAGAGAAATATACAATATTATCTTTATCAATCATTCACTGTCTCTCACCATCAGCAAATAGTTCAGAACACTGATCATCCCGGGTGGGACACTTCCCCATGAAGCAGTAGCCTTCCGCATTCTTGCATGGAAATCCATTGACTTGGAACTGGTCCTTAGGACACGCAGGGGAGTGGCCAGTGCACACTTCAGGAAAGTCACATTCATCTTTTGCTGGTCTGCATGTGGACCCTGCTTCTTTAATCTGTTGAAGAAAAACAATTCGACTGAATCTTGGATGCATTTAGGTAGCTAAGGTTCAGTAAGAATGCAGAAAGTTGACCCACTTAATTTATCTGAAAAAGGCATTAAGGATGGGTCATCACTTCTTTCTCCCTTCCACTGAGAATTGTTATTATTCCTAAATGCCTTGGCTTTTATGTAATTTTAGGAATGACAAGATGGTGTTTTTGAAATTTGGTATTAGAACAGCCTTAGGTAAGCTGGAATGGACATAAAACGGAGAAATGGGCAGGTGTTCTCATTTATATTGTCTTTTCTCCTTATCTGAAAGGATTCAGTACACACCTTAACCCCAAACTGGGAAACTTTGCCTGTAATGAGAAATCTCCATTCCCAAGAAATCAGATTCCTCCATATGGAAAAAATACCCGGACTCTCACATCTGGAGGGAAATGCATAGAGATATTCTCTCATTCAGCCATTCCATATGCATTTGATTGTGCTGGGTTCTGAACGGATTTGAAGATGCAGATATGTTTCTTTTCTTCGTGAGTTCACAATCCATCCAGTGGGGTGAAAGAAGCGTCAATAAACCCTTGGATTTCTGGTTGTCTTCCCTAGGATATTTCTCCTCTACTAGCCAAGACCACTTTCCAACCCCAATACAATCCTTTTCCCTTTTAGCTTACTGTTGTTGGGATAACAATTTTCCTCTCGGCTGAGGTTAAATAGGTTGGCAATGATTTACACAGGAACAAGAATAGTGTTGGTCATGGGATTCCCTCCTAAAACACGAAGTGCTGCCTACCAGCTTTTCCACTGCCCAGACCGATGTTCAGACGTTGGAGCCTCTCAGAAGAGGCACTGTTGGGCATTTGCAAGCCTGGCCCCATTCTGGAATTAGCGGCATAGGTTGTGCAATGGTCAGACAGCTCTTTCATCCTACATACACTTACACTGAAAACAGAGAAACCCTCTCCCAGCAAAAGATCTTACCTGACAAAATTCACAGCATTCTCCTTCTGCACAAGTAAATCCTGGCTTCAGTACACATTTGTGTGCATCACAGCAAGGATTAGTGCACTCCTGGCAATAATCAAAAATTAAAGATCAGAA